AGAGAAAGTGCTGCCCGAAATCCTATGGGCCTACCGGACAACCGAAAGGACTAGTACCGGTGCCACTCCTTTCTCTTTGGTTAACGGAGCCGAGGCCTTGATCCCAGTCGAGGTGGGCGAACCCAGCGCTAGATTCCGGTATGCAACTGAGGTTACCAACCAAGAAGCGATGCTCACCAGCTTGGATCTTTTAGACGAAAGGAGAGAGGCCGCACTAGTTAGGATGGCAGCTCAGAAACAAAAGATCGAAAGATATTATAACCGAAGGGCTCGTCTTCGACACTTCAATATAGGGGACTTGGTACTAAGAAAGGTCACCCTCAACACTCGAGACCCTAACGAAGGGAAATTAGGACCAAACTGGGAAGGCCCTTACACCATTTTGAAGGTAACCGGAAAGGGTTCGTACAAGTTAGGAACGATGGATGGGAAAGAACTACCCAATAACTGGAATATAGGCCACTTGAAGAGATACTACTGCTAAAGGTAAGTCTTCTTTCTTCTTCGCTTCCGTAAATTTTTTGAGACTTGTCCGATCCTAACCCGTGCAGGTCGATGATCGGTCGCTAAGACAAGTTCGGACATCGGAGAGACTGAAAGCACGAGCTGCACTCTTTTTTCCTTCGACCGTTTTTGTCCCAACTCGGGTTTTTCGGCAAGGTTTTTAACGAGGCAGCAAGAACATCGTGCTACTACAAAGGTATCCAAGGGTAAATCATTGTATACTAGATCGCCCTCCGAAGAAGGCGAAGGTCAATAAGAATAAATGAAAGGGTCAAACGGCCAAAGCGAGCCGTGCCCAACTAGCCTGACCTAATCCGCCCGGATCAGTATGATGTATTGACTATTACTGCAATAGCAAAGACTATCCGATGCATATTCACATCATAACATTAAAGATTTTGTTCGACTCTTCGGTATGCTTTCAAGTCCGATCTCATAAGACCTCCTCGAGGCATATTCGATCTCACATTCGAACATAAGACCTCCTCGAGGCATATTCGATCTCGTATTCGATCTCATAAGACCTCCTCGAGGCACATTCGAACATAAGACCTCCTCGAGGCATATTCGATCTCATATTCGATCTCATAAGACCTCCTCGAGGCACATTCGAACATAAGACCTCCTCGAGGCATATTCGATCTCATAAGACCTCCTTGAGGCACATTCGAACATAAGACCTCCTCGAGGCATATTCGATCTCATATTCGATCATATAAGACCTCCTTTAGGCTCATAAGACCTCAATGAGGCAACACTTAAACTATAAGACCTCAAGAAGGCAAGTCCAAGCTCATAAGACCTTAATAAGGCGACACATAAAACTGTAAGACCTCAGAGGTGAGTTCGAAATTCGTAAGGCCTCGATAAGGCATTATTTTAACCATAAGTCCTCGAGAAGGCGGGTCCAAATTCATAAAATCTCAAAAGAGGTAATACCGGCCTCGTCATCGACTTCACTAAATGGCGAAGTATACTCGAATTTGTAAGACCTTAAGAAAAAGGCGTAAAATCGATACAAAACCTGAAGGTCAAATTGTGCCCGAGTTCGAACCCACTCACTCGGGGACTGCTTCGAAGAAACCTAAGGGTTGGACTTCACCCGAGCTCGAATCAACTCACTCGGGGACTGCCTTGAGAAAACCCAAAGGTCGAAGTTCACCTGAGTTCGAATACATTCACTCGGAGACTATTTCGAAAAATATAAAGGACTACCATCGTTCCAAAAAGATAAAAGGCAAAGTAATAACAAGATTGAAAAAGGAGCAATAAATGGCAAAGGGCAGTGTTGCATAAAAAAGCTCGCTACCGGAGCAATTACATAAGAGGGGAAAACAAAACAAAGCCTAGCCTATTCCCGGAGTCAATCGGAGCCATCCTCGAATTCTTCGGGGAACGTCGCCCTTCTCGAAGCGTCCTCAGCTTCGGCGGCTTTGGCGACGTCCGATGCAAGATCGAAACCGCGACGTTGGAGTTCGGTAAGAACTTCAAGCCGGGCCTGACACTTCGCATATTCGGCTAACATTCTTGACTGCTGGTTGGCCGCATCAGCATCGGCCCTATATTGGGCCACCATATCATTGGCAGTCTCCTCGGCTTGGGAAACTTTAGCCTCAGCTTCCCGAAATTGATTGGTCCATAGCTCAATTTCAAGGACTCGAGCCTCATTGGCCAACGTCAAGTCCGCAACCTCTTCCCGAAGGGAAGTCTTCTCCGACTCCAACTGTTGCACCCGGGCTTCCAGTTCGGCTTTGTTCTCATCAAGTTCGGCTCTGCTCTCGTCAAGCTCGGCCTTAACCCGATTAAGCTCGGCTTGCACCCCCCTTAGCTTACAACCAAGCTCTTTCTTTGCTTCCTCCAGCCGGATAGCACAGGACGCGTGCTCTTTATTCAAAAGGTCCAATCCGGTCCGGCTTTCTAGCAGCTTCTCTTCAAGGACCCGGCGCCCTTCTCGCTCCGCCTCCATTTTGTCCTTGATTCGGAGGAACATCGAGTGATATAGCACCGATGCCTGCAAAGAAAAAGTCTAAAGAGTCAGTACTGAGTCACAAGGCAAAAATATTAGAAATAAAGGAAGAAGCAAATACCTTGAGCTGCGCCTGCTGGGCTTCGTTGAAAAGGCATGTCCAATCTACAGCCTCGGTTGCAGCCCGGTCTTCCTCCGCCATCAGGTGATGAAGATAGCTTGCAACCCCGACCGGGGGCCCCAGAGCCCGGACGTCTTTGGGGATAGCAAAAGTTACTATCCTGTTACAGTCCGGGTCCAGGCTCGGAGCTGGAAACCTATCAACAAGCTTGTTGACGGCCGAAGTCCCACTTGAGTCGGCCTGAAGGTCTTTCCGGGGGATTTCGAGCCCGAAAGTGTTGGCGGAGGGTACCCCATCAAAAAAGGTCTCGAAGCTACCTCCCATCATCGGGATGTCGTCCGGCAGCTGCCCCCAAGTCGAGGAAGATGGGGGGGACGTAACCGGGTGATCGGTACCCGGGGATGCCCGCGCAGGGGCCGAGGGTTCACTAGCATCCTCAACCCTCACGTCCTCGGGAGGAGCCTCAACTGGATCGACCACCGGCTCAGGGTCCGCTCGAATGGATCGGTGGCGGACGAGCTCCGGCTGCTCCTCATCGTCATCCTCTTTGTCATCCTCTTCCTCGGAGGACAAGACGATTTGGCTTTTTGGTTTGCGGGCGGCCCTTTTTGTCCGCTTAGTCTTCCTTTGAGGCTCGTCCGTACCGGACTCCCCGGGCCTTTTATTTTCTCCCGGAACCGGAAGGGGGCATAGTATTGAAGACCTCATCTCCGCGTCCTTGGGCAAGCCTGCAAAACACGAGGGTTATGATGCATTCCCGATATACAGGAAAAAAACTGCGCTACCGGTCAAAAAAAAGGCTTACCATGGTTTTTCGCCTCCCACCGACCTTTGGAGATTTCCTTCCAGTTTCGCTCCGAATATGGCCGCTGGGCCACTATCTTGTTTACCCAGCCGGCCAGATCCTTGACGGCAGCTGGAGTTTGGGTCACCGCTGCACAAGAAAAGGGGGTTTCAGGAAGAAGTTGAGGAAAACACGCTCTAAAAGATGAACAGTGAGAAAATACTTACGTTTGAGGTTCCACCTCTCCGGAAATGGCATGCAATCGGCCGGAATCAGGTCGGACGTCCTGATCCGGACAAACCTGCTCATCCAGCCTCGATCTTTGTCTTCATCG